TAAGTAGATAAAGATTATTTTCGGGAAAGAAAGAAGTGAAAGAACACAGAACAAAACCTTACAAATAATTTAGAAAAAAAAAAAATCATGCTATAAAACAGTACAAGGCACCGTACGTGGTGAAACATAGGGTGTGACTGGCTTTGAATCCAATTTTAAAATAAAATACGCATACAGCTTCAGCTGAAAACCCTATCAATATTACTATTTTCAATGAGTGATTACAACTGGCAATTTCACAAGTAGGATAAATCATGTTCTACCAACATAACGAGTGTAATAAATAAAATTGTTTTTCTTCTGCAAACAGTCAGTTAAATGGGGAAGAGTTCAGATAACATTTCAGTAATGAAATTAATCATGACATCACCTCAGGGTGACAAGAAAAAAAAAGATCTTCACATCGTTTCCCTCACCCTGAAATTAAAGAGCGATCACATTATGCAGTTCCAAAACAATTTCTTGAGACACAGACGAGCAGTGAGAGCATATTTATATTGACCTATGTATAAACATGAGTGAGCAGATCTATGCTTTACATACTGTCGTATACAGTACAAGATTATTCCAAGTTCAGTTCATTCATTATATAACCAAAGTGGTTTCTGACTTTCTGACCTTAGTGACAACTTTAAGAGAATAGGACATAATAAGTCAACAGAACAATTGTCGAAGATTGTTCAAAATGAAGAATTTCTTTGAGGAATTTAGAAAGAAATTTAAAGACTGAAATCTTTTATGGAATATTTTATAGTATTCACAAGCATTATATCTGAAATTTAAATGTTAGTGTTTTATAACTCTGGCACTTTTGGCAGATCTTTTTCTTTTCTTTTCTTTCAGTTGTTTTCTTTTTAGCATCTAAAATTTGACAGTTAGACAGTTATTTCTTTTCTTGAGGATGTCTTCTAAAAACAATTTTTGAGTGTGTGTGAGTGAAAGTAAGGGTGAATAATATGTCTGTCGAGAGGGAAAAAAGAAGTGGGGGGTCTTTTGGGAGGGGGGGAGGGTGGAAATTCCTCATGCTTTTAATGCTGACAGTGATTTGATTAGAGACCAAAACTGAGACACACCAAGATATTAAGGAGCATGAGAATATTTCAAAATAATAGGTCAAACAATGCATAAAGGAAATCACATATCTATCTCAGTGAGCTTAATCGTTTTGAGTGAAAATCAAATTCAAAATGTCGAGGACACATACACTATTAATAATTAAAAGAAACATAGGGCAGGCATGTTCCTCTTACTGTTGCAGACAAGACAATTGAAAAACGGTCTAGATTCTCACCTGGGTCGTTGGCGATGGGAATGTTGTTGCTGATGTAGGCAGCCGTCAATGCCTCTAAGTAGTCATGCTGCCGGCCAGACAGAGAGAGAGACAGAGAGAGAGGATTTTTAGTTTTAGTAAGTATTTTATGGCAAACGCAACACAGTAAGGTCATATAAGTGCCAAAGATTAGAGGAGTTACAAGAGAGTAACAAACACAAAAAAGAAGGAGGGGAAATAAATGTAATAGATGTTTGATAGGAAAGAAGAAGCAAACCACACCAGAGCACCCGCCAACCACCCACAACTATATCTCTGATTCAGAACAAATCAAGTAAGTCAAGATCTGAAGCAAAGAAAGAAGAACTTGACCAATCTACTTCCTGTATGTCTACCACCCAAGCACATTTCCAGTATCATGCTTGTTTTTAGTTTTAGTAGAGGTTTTACGGCGCTCGCAACTGCATAAGGTTATATGAGCGCCAGAAGATTAGAGGTGTTACAAGAGAGTAACAAACATAAACAAGAAGAAGGGGAGCTAAGGACGATAGATGTTTGATAGGAAAGAA